CGCCAAGCAAGGCTGTCCGCCATTTTTTTTGTCCACCATTTTTTTTGTCCACCATTTTTTCCCCTTTTCTGGCGGGTGCCTTACCTCCCTTGGGCTGGGCCAGCTGGTGGTCGGCCTGCTCCGTCTCTGCCGCTTGCCAGCTACGCCTCGGCCGGTGCAGGGGGCGGAACTGCGCATGCGCGGCGCTCCCAGGCAGGGAAAGTCCTCGACTTACGCCCGTTTGGGTAGTCCTCGACTTACGACCGGTTTAGTCCTCGACTTACGACCGGTTGGGGTCACGGCATTAAAAAGGTTGAGAACCACTGATTTAGTGACTGTTCGAAGTTACAACAGCACTGAAAAAAACAATGATTTATGACTGTTTTTCACACTTAAAACCATTGCAGCATCCCTGTGGTCACATGATCAAAATTCAGATGCTTGGCAATTCATATTTATGTCGGTTGCAGTGTCCCAGGGTCATGTGATCCCCTTTTGCGACCTTCTGACAAGCAAAGTCAATGAGGAAGCCACTTAATTACTAACTTAACAATTGCAGTGATTCACTTAACTGTGGAAGAAAGGTCGTAAAATGGAACAAAACTAACTTAACAAATATTTCATTTAGCAACAGAGATTTTGGGGGGGTCAATTATGGTCGTAAGTCGAGGACTACTTGTACTGTGCTCTGGGGAGTTGTAGCCACATGTCAGGAATGACAAGTGTACTTCTCCACTATACTTCTCCACTATACTATTTGTTGCAATACTAGATTCACCAACCATTTGTAATGTACAAGTGGTGTGAAACCACCTGCATTTCTACTCAAATGCATAATTTGGCACTGATCTTTGATGTCAGCTGTAGCATCCCATCCCCAGCATTTCCCAGCAAGCCCTGATGATTCCCATATTGTTAACTGTAAGCAATGTCAAATGTGTGCTCCTCCTAATCGGGGATGTTCCCCTCGTAAGGGTACTAAGAACTATAGCAGTGTTGGCGAACCTTTTAGAGACCGAGTGCCCCAAAACTGGCCCCGCCCCGCCCCGCTCCACCCCCTGCCCCGCCCCTGCTCTGCTCCTACCCCGCCTGCCCGCAGGGCCACTCACTATCTCCAGGACCCACCGCAGATTGCCCAGCAGCGCCATGGCAGCCATGCCCTCTGCCCGCGCCCCACAGCATCAACTGTGTACGATGGGGCGTGAGGGCAGTCTTTGTCTACGCTGCCTGGCTGCCATGTCCTTGGCTGCGCTGCTCCGTGTGGGCCACGCTCGGGGGCAACCCTTCTCCAGGAGGGCTGCTGGTGAGGAGGGGGTCATGGGAAGAAGCAAGCACGTGTGCCCACAGAGAGGGCTCCGAGTGCCGCCTCTGGCACCCGTGCCATAGGTTCGCCACAACTGAAGTATAGGGTCTGTTACAGGCAGTGGTTGTTTATTTTAACCACTATATGGAACAGACTTCCCCAGAGGTCCATCTAGCAATGGCTCTGGCATCATTCCATAAGGCTGCTAAAATAGAAGTTTTATTCTGGGCTCTTGGAGTTTGATGTTATGGTGTCATAATTGATTGTATTGGCAATCTAGTTGTTATTTATTCATTTTATTGTATTATCCCATTCCTTGATGCATTCTGTTAATTATATACTGTTTTGTTTGATGTAGTAAAATACCACTGTGAATTATTCCAGATTGGGAAGGGGAGGGAGGAGGGAGGGAGGGAAGAAGGAAGGTACGAAGAAGGGAGGGAAATACAAGAAGTCCTTGACTTACAACCATTCGTTTAGCAACCGTTCAAAGTTACAACGGCACTGAAAAAAGTGATTTATGACCATTTTTCACACTTACAGCTGTTGCAGCATCCCATGGTCACGTGATCGAAATTCAGACATTTGGCAGTTGGCTCATATTTATGAACGTTTGCAGTGTGTCCCTGGGACATGTGATCCCCTTTTGCAAAGTCAATGAGGAAGCCAGATTTACTCAACAACCATGTTACTAACTTAACAATTGGAGTGGTTCATTTAACAACTGTGGCAAGACAGGTCATAAAATGAAGCAAAACTCACTTAAAAACTGTCTTGCTTAGCAATGGAAATGTTGGGCTCAATTGTGGTCGTAAGTCAAGGACTACATGACTTGAAATCATCCACCTGAAAAAATGTTGTTCATAATGGGCCAATCTATTATCGAGTCTATACATACTACATAACAGTTTAGGATCTTGTTCAAAGCCTTCAAGGGAAAGTAAATCAACTGAATCAAAATAGAGTTTATATATCTTGTTCCCAAACTACAGTATGCAGCAATAAGGTTTTTCTCTGATCTTGGTGTTTCCATTAATAAAAGATCTACTTTGTATAACAACGTAATAGTGGCATAAGCTAAAACATCATTCCACATGCTTCATACCTATACTATATTATAATAAACAATATATTTCCAATAAAAGTATGAATGGCAGCAAAGGTTCTGCAAAAATGGATAGGCTTTTGGAAAAACATTTGGACGTACTATCAAATGTTACCTTTGAAAGAAAGGCATGATTCATCCTGCTTTCTGGAACCATCTCTCCTAAAATATAGAGAACCAACATTTTAATAATCACAAAAAATAGATAGATTTTTTAGCAGAATATCCTAAAAATTTCTCTCCGTCAACAGATAATAACAGTATAAAGACACACCATATTGTGAGAGAAGGATGTGAGCTCTAAAGTGGTAGAACAAATTAAGGAGCAAGTTAAAGATTTATCAGAAGCTATCCTATTTTTTTTCTTGCTTAATTGGGGATTTCATTTGCATTTTAGAACTGCACTTTTCTTAATGTTTGTATTTATAGTCCTACATATACAGAACGGTTTGTAACCCCCCCCAAAATTGTTTCAAATGGTGAGAGAACTCCATCTTTCATGTAGAGCATTTGGCTGGCTTCAGACATTCTAAATGTAGCCTGCTTTCTGCCTACAAAACTAAAACCACTTTCATGTTACAGAAGTAACTGGATGATGGGTTGGAAAACATTTTTAAAAATCAGTAAATAGGCAGTTGCATCACTGCCAGCCATAAAAGGGCCTTGAATTAGCCTGCACTTGTGCAGCTATTAATGGTACAGTTGCCTAAGGCATAATTATCTCTTACAGGAGAATGGCACTTCTATTTAGGCACATAAAACTTGTAAATGGTCATTTAGTTGCTTATCCCCAGCAAATAAGGCTAGTTCTTATGATTTTGGAAAACAGCTGGTGATTCTTAATTTTTTTTTCCTTTTAACCACTCAAGTCACAAATGACTGAGACAGTTGGGCACACAGCTGGTAGTGGCTAATATCGCTATCTCTAGTATTTGTGATTTGTGTTTATCATACATGCATATTTACAAATGTAATGAGCCTTAAGGTCTGCAATATGAGCACTATTTACGAAGACCATAAGTTCTAGTCATGCCTTAACCATGAAAGCCAGCTGGGTGACTTTGGACTAGTCACTTTCTCGCAGCCGAACCCATCTAACTGGGTGGTTGTTATGAGAAAAATAAGGAGAAGGAAAATGTGTTGGATATGTTCGCCATCTTGAGTTATTTGTAAAAATAATAAAGGCGGGATAGAAATAAAATAAAATAAAATAGGATCATTTTTAACCTACTGATATTTTGAGTTTATAGGGATTCTTATTTAAGTTCCATGAAATTTAATTTGCCTTGTTTATTTAACTACTGGAGAAGCATACCGTATTTTTCGCTCTATAAGACGCACTTTTTCACCCCCAAAAGATGGGGGAAAATGTCTGTGCGCCTTATGGAGCGAATGCTGCCTCCCTTCCGCGCTGCCGCCGCCGCCGTGGCCTCCCGAACGCCCCGCTGCGGCCC